CTTCTTGTATGTGCCCTGACTAGAGATCAAACCCACAACCTTGGCGTATTGGGACGCTGCTCCAACCAGCTCAGCCACCGGGCCAGGGCCCATGGGAGCCATTCCCAGGTGTACAGTCCAATGGTGTTAAGTACATTCACATCGCTGGACCACCAACCTACAGGACTTTTCATTTTGCAAAACAGCCACTCTGCACCCACTGAACAGCCCCCCGTCTCCTCCTCCCCCAGCCCCAGGCAACCAGCACCCTACTTTCTGTCTTTACGGATCTGACTGCTCCGGGGACCCCCCCCAAGTGGAATCCTACAGGATTTGTCTGTGTGGCTGGCTTATGTTCCATAGTAAGGTGTTTATAGCAACTTTCATGCACTTTAAAATTTCAGCATATAGTCTTTCTTTTATTGGAGACACATTCAATAGGCAAACGTCGTTCTATCACCTTAAATATTTATTTTAGTGGATGCAGACTGGATGATTTATCCACTTCACGCACATCGCGCTCAGCCATTCAAGCACTTCTGCCCATCGAGTGCAATTCTCCCACTTTCACAACCAATCTCCGTTCAGAAGCAGCAGAGCTCGTGTGATAATGATTTTACAACGTCACTGACAGTCGGACAGCAGCACCCAGAAGGCTGATTAACTCAAGAAACCTTTAATTTTAGAAGAGTTTTAGATTCCTTGTAAAGATGATACAGAGAGTTTCCACAGAGCTCATGCCCAGTTTCTCTCCTTTAGTGCCTGGGAAGTGCTGAATCCTTTAACATTAAACACATGTACTGAGCGCCTACTGTGTACACCGCAGTTCTAGGAATTAAAGAAACAGAGCACAGCAGGCAGCCGCCCCCTGAAGCTGTCGGCCAGCAGGAGAGATGGACATAGACAAGGGCACAAAGGGGTGCTGGGAGACCTGGCGGGGCGGGGTGGGGGGAGGGCTGCGGGGAGGAGGGATACGCAGGGGAGGGGCTCCGTGCTGAGGCCTGAGGGCTCTTAGCCAAGGGACACTCAGCAGCAAGGGTCCAGGTGGAGAGACAGGATGCGCAAAGACTCTTGGGCAGGAGAGAGAAGGGGGCAGTGGGACTGATGTGTGGGCAGGTGGGAGGGGAAGGTCTGAGAGGGAGGCAGGGCCACACCACGGGCAGGTGATATAGTGGGGAGGGTGCACTTTTCCATCAGGGCTTTTGGAGGCCATGGCAGGTTCAAAGCAGCACCAACAGGATGCAGTTTCTTGTGAAAAGACCCCCTGCCTCTGTCCTGAGGAGAATGGATGGGAGAGGACACAGGCGGGTGGATATGGGGGACCTTGGGGGTGACTGTGGTCATTCATGTGACAGACGGTGTTGAGAGATAGGGAGGACAGAGAGAGAAGGGTCTAGAACTGAGTGGAGTCAGTGAGGCGACAGGGAAGATGTGGCAACTGAAGAGGCTGCCACTGGAGAGGCAGGGGACACACTCTGGAGCGACCCTTCACTGGCAGCCGGCAATCCCGCAGGGGGGCGTCAGCTACTTGTGGGAAAGGCACAGAGTGGGCGTGAAGCATGATGGGTAAACACCTACCAAGCAGGGTCTGATTTGGGGTGGGGTCTTCACAGGATTTTTTGCTCACACACCCCCTTGCATATTTTTACATTAACAACGGAACTTTTCATCATTGTTTTAACGGTTACAAAAGACGCCGCTTTCTGTCTGCCGTGGGAGTGGGCATCTCACGGTTCCGTTGCTACTCTGCTGTCCGGCGGGCACCTGGCGGCATCGGATTGCCACCACCTGTCCGTAAAGCGCACGAAGAGGCCAGGTTGGCACAATCACTACCTGTACCTGAACTCACATTTCTATTCTGTTCCCCCGTCAAACGTCATCCCAGCGAGTTGCACTTTTGGCCTAGAAGTCTCTCACTGACCTGCCTATCTTGTTTCTCCGCAACAGAGGTGTGCATACGGGGCAAATGAAAATCTAACGTAAAGCATTTCCTGGTGAGCTCGCAGTGCTAAAACAGTTCCTTTGGATTGCTGTGTGTTAGTATACACTTGATCAAAAACAACACAGATGTGTTAGGAACATTTATTTTAAGGCTTTATTTATTTATTTTTAGAGAGCAGGGAGGGGAGAGGGAGAGATACAGCATCGACTGACTCTTGCACATCCCAACCGGGGACCTGGCCTGCAATCCAGGCACGTGCCCTGACTGGGGACCAAACTGGCAACATTTTGCTTCGTGCAGGCTGGCGCTCAACCCACTGAACCACACCTGCCAGGGCACAAAAATGCTTAATGATTACTAAATGAAGAATTAAGATTTTATGGAGCCCTGCCTGGTGTAGCTCAGTTGGTTGGGTGTCCTCTTGCAAATTGAAAGGTCGCCAGTTTGATTCCTGGTCAGGGTACACACCTGGGTTGCAGTTCTGGTCCCAAGTTGAGATGTGAAGGATAATCCGTTGACGATGTTTCTCTCCTTCTCTTTCTCCCCCCTAAAAAAAATAAAATCTTAAAAAAATACTTTTATGGAAAATGTATCTCAACAAGGTGGATGCAATTGTCTGTTTTGCTTCTCTGTTTACTCCATGTAGTTGCTGAGGGCCCTTTTCTCTTTCCAGGGGCCAGAGGTGAGAGTGGCCCTGTCCCAGGCCAGGGCCACTGGGGGCTTGTGCAGGGAGGACACAGGAGAGAGGCTGACTCTCTGGCATTGGGATCCTTACAGTGACCAGCTGTCTTGTGCCCTTGGGAAGTAAGTCTCCATCTACCTCTGGGGCTCACATACCACAGACTAAAGATGGCTGACCCAGGACAGGGAAGCGCCCACCACAAGGGCCACCCCCCAAAAAAGGAGTTGGAGCTGCGAGCACCTCTCCTAGGGCCATCGGACGAGCTCTCTCTGCCGGGGCTCTAGGAGCAGGCGGCTGGCCCGGCTGCCAGGTCCTCATGACCGGCCTAACCTCACCGGCTCTCCTTCTGGCTCCGAGGGTGGGGGCTGCCTCGGGCACAAGCTGGCCAAGTCCAGCCCGAGTTTGAAGGAGCAGCCCCTGCAGCCACAGGGGCCTTGTGACACGGGGACTGGATGGAGCGTGACGAGAACAGGAGACTGGGATCATAAAAGTCACAGAACCTGGTTCATTCCCTGTCTTCCTAGCTGAGTGGTTCTAGACACTTGCTGTCACTCCTCTGAGCCTCAGTTTCCCCATCTGTAAAGTGGGGACTTGCAACAGCCCCTTCTTCTTGAAGATGCTGGGGGCACCAATGAGCTGAGGTATGTAGACCCCTTACTGCTGCAGACAGTAAGAGGTCAGCAGCAGCATTTGCTGGGACTGTCACGTCTTTTGACCCTCTCAGTACTCCTGTAGGGCTCCCGAGTCAGGGGAGACTTTAGGTCACCAGTATTTACAGGAAATGGGTGTGTCTTTCAGGACTGTACACGGCACTGGAGGGGTTCGATGGTGTGAAGACCCAGACTTAGAAGGCTCAGTCACTGGCATTCATGACCCTAGTGGTAACACAGAAGGCCTCGAGGTAACACGAGAGTGGGCTGCAGCAGTGGGGGGGGCATGGAGTCCTCATCGTCCCAGCTGTTCCTGCTCCACAGTGCCCTGCACTCCCTGGCCACAGCAGCACCCCCCATTCCAGTTCACACTTCAAGAATGACTCAGATTCCTCCCCTCCCTCCCCCACTTCTGCTGCAGTTCAGGCCCCCATCTTTTTTTTTTTTCAGGGTCTTGACCTTGGACCCAGTTGCCCCCCCCATCTTGGTCCCTCCAACCCCAATCTAAAGCCAGTGTGGTTTAGACAGTCACTGCTGAAAGGCCCCTCATGGCCCCTGTCTGGCCCCAGGGTAAGGCTGTCTCCTCAACACAGCTCAAAAGACCTGATGATTGGGCCCTGCCCAGCAGTCCAGTTCCCCGTCTTCACACCCCCACACCTCAGCCATGTGGGGCTCCATGTCCCGGGCTCTCGCTGCCAGTCCATTGCACGCCCTACTCCTGCCCGGACCACCCAGTGTGACCACCCTAACCCTCCCCTCCTCACTCTTCAGGACAGAACTGATACATAGAGGAGGAAGGACTTCCCCAGCCTACAGACTGGGAGAGGTGTCTCTCTGGTGTCCCACCTCGCGGCACTGACCACCATGTCCGCAAATTGTCTGCTTGCCCGTCTGTCTCCCTCAGCAGACTGAGAAGTCTGTGCGAGCAGGGGCTGTCTGTCCTGGTCGGTGCTGTATCCCTAGAGTAGAGTACTGACCTGACACAGCCAGTGTTTGTGAAATATGTTGATGGATGAACCAATTTCAGCCAAGTCTGAGCTGAGGTTACCTGGACCACAGCGATAGCCTCCTCAGTAAGCCCAGCGGCCACCGTGACCGCAGATCTAGCCGGCATGCTCTCTGTGTAAAACCTTCTGTGGCTCCCTATTACCCTCCAGAACAGAGGCCAAAGCACTTACAGCACTTGCAAGTCTTCCCCTTCCAGTTTCTGCCTATTTCTCAATCCTCATTCTCACCAGCCTCCACCAGGTGGAATATTTCCAGTTCCCCAAATGGCATATCTGAATACTTCGTTCTGTGTAGAACATGCCACTCCCCACTTTGTACCCGGTGAGCTCTGTCGGTTTAGACAGCAACCTTCCCTGCTCTGCGGCCCACCTGCTGCCTTCCCCACGGCCCAGAAGCTCCAGAGAGCTTCCAGCGGTGGGAAGCCGACTCCCCACCGCTGTCTCCCCAGCACACAGCACGGGGCCTGCTTTATGCAGCTGAACGAAGGAACAGGCTTCTGGCTCTGCCAGCGCACGCCAGGGCTCGTCCGTCGTGCTGAGTCCCTGGTGCTCAGCCTGAGTGTCCAGGATATTTCGGGAAGGCAGGCAGGTGGGTGGACAGGAGAAACGCTCATCACGGCTCCAGGAGGAGTGGGGATGAGAAATCAAAGCGTGCGATCCAGGAGAAGCTCGTAAGAAAACAAAACCGAGAAAGCTAGGCGTGGGGCTCGACCGAGGCTAAGAGTGGCGGGACACCTTTTGTGCCACTCACAAAGATGGGGCCGCAGAGCCGCGCCCCTCTCCAACTTGGCACTACCGGGGTGGGCGGGGTCCGAGGCGGAAGTGACGCACACGGAATTCCGGCCCCGGTCCCTCCGCGGCGGGACCCTGGGTGCGGAGGAGAGGCACGCTGCGACCGGAAAATGGGGCGGCTCGGGGCTCGTGCGGCGCTGTGGCTGCTGCTGGGGGCCGAGGCGGTGGCGGCGTTCGAGCCCATCTCCGTGGCCCTCGCCATCGGGGTCGCGTCCATCTACGTAGCCTACCGACACCCGGCCCTGTACTGTCACTTCGCCGAGTGCTGCGGCGAGGAGAAGCCGCTCAACGCGTCGGGTACGGCGGGTCGCCTGGAGGGGCGCGAGGGACGCAAGGGACAGAACCCAGCGGGCATCCGCGCCTGGCACACGGCTCACCCGAGGTGGGGGGAGGGAGAGAGGGCAGATGGGGCCTCCGTTTGGATTCCAGCCCTGGAAGCCGTGCCTTCTGTCTAGGTAAGAAACATCCCATCCTGTAAGAATTTTTATTAGTTTATGTGAACCAAACTGACGATAATTGCCAGGAAGCAAACTCTCAAGGGATTGAGAAAATGCTCCGGAAAATGGCAATTTTACCATTTAGTTTATACATCAGAATCAAAGGGGAAGATGGAAGGGGTTACCTGAAATTCATTGGTGATAGATTAGGGAGGGAGGAGAGAGCAAAGAGGGGAAACCTTTGAGATTGGATAAAGAATAAAACGAGTCAGGCATATACTTGTACATTTGTGGGCATCGGATAGCTAACAGTCAAGCAGTTAACATGATAATAGAAAGGGGGTTGCTGGTGTCTGCTCCCGCCACTGTGGTTGTGCCGAGGGGTCTGGAGAAAGGAAATTGCCCTGCCTTTCCAAAGCTGCGGTCCCTTGGCCTCAGGTGCAAAGAGGCTGTAGGCAGGCCCAGGCTCCCTTGAGGTAATGCTCGACCTTTGTCAAGGACGCCACAGGCCTGGCAGTGACTACCTACTTTTATTTAGAAAGTTTTCCTTTCAGCCTCTGAGTTTATCAAGCCCATCATGGAGGCGCCCTCTGAGCCAGCCAGGTTTAGCACGTGGCCCTTTTTCGCCCACATTTCCAAGACATTCTCCAGCCTGCGAGGCTCTGCCCCCATTCCTGTCTAAGTGTCTGGGCTCCTTGGAACTCCAGGAAAAAAACCGAAAGCGGAGAGGCCGACCCTTCTGTGCCACGTCAGCCCTTTTTAGGTAGTTCTCACATTTGCAGTTTGCCCAGAACGCCCATTTTAGCCCTAGGCTTCCTCAAGGCAGCAGGGGTGGCTGGGGAGACAGCTTGCAGCTCAGTCAAGAGGGCTCATGCTTGGCTGCACGGACTCATTAGCCTCCTTGTCAGACACTTGCATGTTAAGGACAGAATCTAGTGTATTTCCTTGCAAGTGGCATCATGTGACTCTACAACCCACGCTTCCGCCCCGTGGCCAGCCCTGGGGTCTGCCTGAGACCCTGCCGGACCTCCCACCACTCTGCGCATCTCCTCGGCCAGCTGCGAGCCATGCTGCCTTTCTGGTGCGAGTCTGACGTGCGTTTTTCTCTCTGTCCTGGGGTTGGCTCCTGCAGGCCTCAAGCTGCAGTTGGAGGAGAAGTTGTTTGGGCAGCACCTGGCCACAGAGGTGATTCTCAAGGCGCTGACTGGCTTCAAGAACAACAAAGAGCCCAAGAAACCACTGACTCTTTCCCTACATGGCTGGGCTGGCACAGGCAAGAATTTTGTGAGCCAAATTGTGGCTGAAAATCTTCATGCAAAAGGCCTGAAGAGTAAGTTTGTCCACCTGTTCGTATCGACCCTGCACTTCCCTCATGAGCACCAGATAAAACTGTACCAGGTAAGGGAGCCCTGCCGTCCTGCCCACCCGCTGCTCCTGCAGCAGCCCCAGGCCCTGTTGAGTTAAGGCACCCACCCCGGTGACCCTTGGCCGTTCGTACAGCTCTCCTACAACTTTTTCCTCGCTCAGTTCCAAAGTGACACAGTGGTGGAGATGATACTCCCATTAAGGGATGGTGGCAAGAGAAGTGAGGTGACTTGCTCCTTACAGTCTTCCTGACCGGGGAGCAAATCAGAAACCAGAACCTGTATCTCCTCACTTCTAGGTCGCAGGGTATCTACTTTCTGCAGGGAATGAGCACGTTCGGCGTTCCCATCACAGCCCGTGGCTGAGTGGAGCCGTCTTCACCAATAAGCGGACAAGCAGTTTGCTTGGGCACGGCTCCCTGGAAGGCGCCCACCTGGCCTCTGTGACTGGCGATGCGGACTAGAGCGCTTGCCCCCCACCCTGTAGCTTGACTCCCTCCGCTCCGCCTGTCCTTCAGGTCCTTGGCATTGTTTCCTCCCTTCAGATGAAGGCCTCAGAGCACTGAACCTGAAGACGGTTTCTCCTTTTGAGATATTCTTTCCACATTTAATTTATGCCAAGTTGTCTAGTACGGTTCTCATTGTAATGCATGTCACCCTCAGAAAGGGCAACATTCCCGCTGGTGGGCGGGGATTGAAGTGAGAAATGGAAACTGAACTGAACAAGAAAGTGAAAGCAGATGTGAGGTGGGGAAGGCTGCCAAAAGCATCGTTTTCTCGCTTTCTGAGTTCTTTGAGAAATCACTCAAAGAAAGAAGGGTGAAGAAATGAGGGCGCCTCTGGAGCCTTTCACATTTGGGGTCGAGAGCTTGTGACTCACGTGTCTTTTTGTTTGTTTCCAAAAAAAGCTTGGGAAGAAATGCTGCTTTTAAAAAAATTATTTGCTTTTAGAGAGAGCGGAAGTAAGGGGAGAGAAGGAGAGAAACATCAATCAGTTGGCTCTCATAGGCCCTCAAATGGTGACCTGGCAGGCAACCCAGGCCTGCGCCCTGACTGGGAATCAGACCAGTGACCTGTTGGTTTGCAGGCCGACACTCAACCAACTGAGCCACCCCGGCCTGGGCTAGTTTCCGCTTCTAATAGATAATGTTGTGGAAGAGCTGCTACCCAGTGAATGGAGGTTAGGGTGCAGTTTCTAAGAGTTCTTTGTTAAGTCCCAGAGAGTTCTGATTTTCCCCTTTCAGGGCTCGAGGGCTAGGGTAGCACTTCTGCAGCCCCTGGGCCCATCCGTTGAGCCTGCATGTCCTCTTTTTTGGCGCAGGACCAGTTGCAGGGGTGGATCCGGGGCAACGTGAGTGCCTGTGCGAGCTCCGTGTTCATATTTGACGAGATGGACAAGTTGCACCCCGGGATCATCGATGCCATCAAGCCGTTTCTGGACTACTACGAGCAGGTGGGCGGCGTGTCTTACCGGAAGGCCATCTTCATCTTTCTCAGGTTAGTGGGAAGAAGGGGTCTCTCTGGGAGGCACCTGCCCTTCCTTCTCCCAGGGCTAGAATGACATTCTGGTGACCAGCAGGGACAAGAGTGCCAGCCTGGCAAAAGCGACTTCCTGATTTCTTTGACTTTTGGGTACCAGCCTGGCACAGAGAGAGGGCAGGACAGAGTGAATGAAACAGTTGCTGGAAGCGGGCAGTTTCGCTCCCTGCACATGCTGTTTTGGGGCTTGTGAAGAATCAGGGCTACGTAGCAAGTTCTGGAAAAGCAGGTGTTGAGCTGCTTGGTGTTAAGCAGGCCCCGTGTTCCTTTGTCTAGTGGCACTTAGTAAATATCCCTTAGTTAAGAATAAACCTTAGAGCAAATGCGCTTCCTGGTTAGACACAGAAGTCTTCACGTGTGATTTTAATCTTTGTCTCGTGGGCGAAACCAGCAACGCAGGTGGAGACCTCATAACGCAGACGGCCCTGGAGTTCTGGCGGGCAGGAAGGAAGCGGGAGGACATCCAGCTGCACGACTTGGAGCACGTGCTGTCCGTGGGCGTCTTCAATAACAAGCACAGTGAGTCCGGCAGGGTCACGGGCCCCCAGCCCTGCGCCTTCCACGGAGCCGCAGAATCTGCTGGTCTCTGTGGCTTTGCTGAACCAGGGGCTTTTTTTTTAGAGGATTTCTCAGGGTTTCTATGAAAAGTAACCTCACAGATGGTCTCACCAGAAATCCCTGACTGCACAGGCCATGCTGGGCAGTCATCCCAGGCACGTGGCTTCTTTAGTAAAAGGCTTCTTTTTGCCTTAAGATAGTCCCGCCCCTTGTCTCTGTGCGTCTAGGTAACACACCTTTGGAACGCTAGAGAGGTCCTCTTTGAGACCCCTCAAGGGGGCCGCTGCCCTGGACTCTCCTGTGACCCAGCCCCGCCGGGCTTTGGCAGGCCCCCTTCAGGCTTCCTCGCCTTCTCTCGTAGTTCCAGAGGCGGAGAGAAGGCTGCCAGCTGTCATTCAAGGAAGCATTTTTCTCAGTCTGTTGAGATCTTGCTTCCAGGTATGTCCTGTCTTGGGCCCAATAAATTTTTATGGAAATTCTCTGTAGGTTTGGCCATCCAAACCTGTTCTAGAAGCCGGTTAGCAGGCAGGGGTAGCCAGCCAGTCCTTACGGGAGGCTCGTTGCATTCTCGACAGAGAGGTCAAGGGGTAACGAGAAGAGTATATCGTGGGTTGGGATGAAAACGGGCCCCGTCGGAGCGGAGAGTTCAGCCAGGTGACCACGACGGCGTCTCGTTCTGCAGGTGGCCTGTGGCGCAGCAGACTGATAGACAGGAACCTCATCGACTACTTCGTTCCCTTTCTGCCCCTGGAGTACACGCACGTGAAGATGTGTGTGCGGGCAGAGATGCGGGCCCGCGGCTCGGCCGTGGATGAGGACGTCGTCAGCAGAGTGGCGGAGGAAATGACGTTCTACCCCAAAGACGAAAAGATCTACTCCGACAAGGGCTGCAAGACTGTGCAGTCCCGGCTGAGTTTCTACTGACCTCTCATCCGACCGGGGGAGGAGGCAGCTGGGAGCTCTGCCGGCCCAGGCCTTGCCTTTCGGAATCGCTCTCGATTGGGGAACTCAAGAGTTAAAGGTTTTGCCTTAGGTGATGGGCTTCCAGGTGCGTGGAAAGCGGTTATCCCAGGAACTGGGACGCACAGCCTGGAGCACTTCGACCTTTGTGCCCGGGGTGTCCGCCTGGGATGCAGATGGTGTCAGGTTGTTGGTAACAGGGAAAGGAGTACTGGGAAGGTGGCATCTACACTGCAACTCTTAGGATTAACCGTCCTTCTGAACCCCTCGTCCGCCCTTTCTTCTCCTTATAAAAATAGTCGCTGGCCCTGGCTGGTGTGGCTCAGAGGGTTGAGCACCAGCTGGCGAACCCAGAGGTCTCTGGTTCAATTCCCAGTCAGGGCGCACGCCGGGGGTGTGGGTCCTGTCCCCAGTTGGGGGTGTGCAAGATGCTTGCACAAGTGAAGCTTCTCTTCCTCTTTTTCTTCCCTTTCCCTCTCTCTAAATCTTTGAAGTATAATAAGTAGGCTGGTTTGAGGAGAGATGTTAGGACGGTATTGAGGGCACGTAACCTGCCGTCTTCTCAGATCGCTGGGGTCTGATCGAAGTGCCCGTACAGACCCATCCCTGAGTCTACGACAGGCTGTGGTAGTGACAGGCAGCGTGGACACCGGGTTCGTTTTCGGGCACCCCTGGTGGGACACCGGCACTGCCGTCCAGTGAGTCTGGGCGTTGGCGGGGAGTCCCTTTGGCTGCCTGGCCTGGGGGGCCCTGGGGTGCAGATTTGGAAACAGTCCTCCGAGTCGCTGCACCGAGCCTGCGAGTCCCGCGGTGACAGGTGCCTTCTGCGTTGCGCGAGGACGCGGGTGCTACCGAGCGCGGCTGGTGCGCGTGCATCACAGGCGGAAGTACTGCCCATAGGAATGCCAGGGTTTTTCGAGGGTGTGTGTGTTTTTATAATTTTTTATGTATGAATCTTGGAGAACACAAATACGGGATGTTTCTTATTTTAAAACATGGAGAGGATACAAATGGAATAATTGCCTATTTTATCAGATATTCTGAAAATAAATGGTAAAATGTACTGTGGTGTGGTGGTGTGTGGTCACAGTGATAGAACAGAGGGTCCTGGGTGTCCTCTGGCAATGGCACCCGCTGTGGCGGCGCTGGGCCGGACCTCCCCGGTCGCTGGGGGTCGGACTGGACTCCAGCCAGCGTGACGTGTCACCTCGTAGTTGCGACGGCACCGCAGACGCCAGGAGGACGTGCGGCCCTCGGGTGTGGGTGTGGCAGGAGGAGCGCTGTTCCCACACAGAAGGCCTTCCGCACAGAGGGTCACGCTGAGTCCTTTACAAACGCCAAGGTGGGCCCTGGCCGGTGTGGCTCAGTGGACCGAGCACTGGCCTGTGAACCAAAAGGTCGCTGGTTCTATGCCCAGTCGGGGGACAAGCCTGGGTTGTGGGCCAGGTCCCTGGTTGGGGGCGTGAGAGGGACATCAGCTTATCTCTTACATTGATGTTTCTCTAAAAGTAAATAAAATCTTTAAAAATAAAAATGCCGAGATGAGGCTCACATTTTGTAGTACAAATGCTCAAACTGGAGCTAAGTTACACTTCTGTGATAACCTTTTGGGTGTCTGATCAGGAGACAAGATTCTCTGTTTACAGTGATGCAACAAACCCCGAGCACTGGCCACCTTTGGACCGCTGTCTGGGATTTGTAACTTGAAAAGGCCGCAGTTGACCACGGCCCAGCACCCCCACCCACCCAACCCTCACGATACAGACAGGAGCCTGAACTGACCCAGTGAACAGGAAATAAAGCCAAGATTTTAGCATGTGGGATGTCACTTGCAAATTTCCCCTAGTTGGCGTATTTGGTAACTGAACGGTCTGAGTGTGGAATGAAGGCTCGTCCACCACTAGGGGGCGGGGCTCCTGTGTCCTGAACATGCCGGCTGGCGGTCCGCATCACGCAGAATCAGCGTTTACCTGGGGAAAACAGGCTGTCGCCCCCACACAGGTGCAGTTAAATGGGAGTAGACTTGTCTAGACTCCAGTCATACTTTCCTGTGTGGACAGAGAGAGCTGGACTTGTACCACATTCTCCCGAGATCAGTGGAGGAAGGACTGACATGGGGAGATGGGACTGCTGACCCTCCTGGACCTGAGCGTGGCCGGCTCAGACCAGGAGACCTCACTGCCAGGTCTTGCCGCCAGAACTGGAAATACAACCCGAGCGGCCAACCAGACCCCAGCCCACTCGCACTTCCCCTGGCCCCCCATCGCTGCCAGTGCATCGCCAACAGCTCCGAGCAGCAGCTGGCAGACGGCAGGTTCATCGTACCCACCCCCTCATCCCTCAGCTGAAGGTGCTGTGGTCCCAGGAGACGGACGTTCTAGGCCTGGCCCAGCCCGCCTCTCCACCCTGTAATCCTCACCTACGGAGACAACTTTCTGCGTTTAATCGGGGGACCTCTGTGCTCCCTCACTGGGGGCCCCAGGTGTGGGGCTGCCATCTCCAGATGAATGATTAGCCCTCATCTGACTCCTGGGGACATGAAAACAGGCCAGCCTTGGCTCAACATCAAGCACTTTCTTCACTCCAAGCAGGCGACAGGGGCCCGAGCAGCCTTGAGCCTCTGGACAGCCTTGGTGGCCGTGTGGCAAAGGGGTCCGGCGTGGGCCCCGCACCCAGGCTGCCAGCCGACCTGTGCCTGCTGAGCCCCATCCCTGAGCGCACGGCGTGGGCACTCCCGCCCGCATGGGCATGTCTGTAGGGCCTGTGTGAGGTGCCAAACGAGGTGTGTGTGGGCTCCACGCTTCTGCCTGGCATCTCTGGACTTGAACCCCACGGCCGCGTCTCAGGAGCGACGGGAACCCCGCCATGGGGCGCTACACCCCCTACACCTGGGGGAGGAGCCGGGGCTGTGCGCCGAGCCTCAGAGTCTCCACGTTAGAAGTTGGACTTCACATCACTCCCAACCCTGACTGCTCAGGCGGGGTCATGCCTCACAGCTGAGGTGTGAGAGGCCCACAGGGGAGGGACTTCTTTGAAAATGTGCTCGGCCCTGGCCCGGTGGCTAAGTGAGCTGAGGCATCTTCCTGTACACCAACCAGAAGGTTGTGGGTTCAGTCCCTGGTTGGGGCGTGTATAACCAGTGATGTTTTTTTCCCTCTCGTATCAATGTTTCTTTCTCCCGTCTTTAAAATCACTGACCATGTCCTTGGGTAAGGATTTCTTTTAAAGTATTCAGAAATTAGTTTTATTGTAAACTGGTGGGTGGCTAGCTATCGGCATCAGTGAGGATATTGTTCTTGGCATCCTCAAAGGGGGGTGTCGCTCAGCTTCCCTGGAAGGCACTGGGCGTTCCGATCCAACACAGAAAGTAGCAGTAAGTGAGCGAGGCCTTAAAAAAATATGGCGGCACCTGCCAGGTAGCACGCGGCTCCTTCAGGAATGGAGGGCCGAGGAGGGCCTTCCCTGGCAAAGCTCAATGACCAGCAAGTGACAAGTGGACATACTTTCAGGGACACTAACAAGTGTTCCGAGTTACAGGCTGCGAACCTTTGGGAAAGACGTTTAAGCCTTCTGCGTGTCCACTTGCATCCTTGTCCTTCATCTGAGTACTTCTCCGCCCTCCCCTGGCCCGGTAGCTCAGCCGACTTGAGCATCATCCCCATTCACCAAGGTTGTGGGTTCGATCCCTGGTCAGGGTACATGCAGGAATCAGTTGAAGACTGCATTAGAAGTGCAACAAATCAATGTTTCTCTCTCTGTCTAAAATCAATAAAAAATTAAAAATAAGCAACTACAGCACTGCTCCTTGCGATGGTTACCCTGCGACATGTCTGGTCACTGCTGTGGCCTCGCTCCCCACATCCTGCAGACCACGGGCTACGAACTCGGGCTTCTTTTAGCAGCAAAGACGTCACAGTGCACATTATCAAGACGGGCACTTGAAAAAAAGCACACTAAGCCAGCCAGGTCGAGTCCGAAAAGCTTTTCATAATGTTAAAAACCATTTTAAATAAAGTTATCACATTCTCAGTAACTTTTTCATCCTTCCTTGAAACAGAAACTCTTGAAATTAAAACATGATCTTTAAAAAATCACGAGCCGACCCCAGTGGGCTGGGAGCGGCTCCTTCCTTCCCAGAGGCTCCTCCGGGGGCTGCTGGGGGCTGCGGCCCGCGGGGCGGAGCACGACGCCCGGGAAACAGGACCAATTCATCGGACTCCTGCCCAGACGGGGTGGGGCGGTGCTGGGGAGGCCGGGGTGTTGCAGTCTCGGGGGGCCGGCGTCGGCGCCCTCAGTCATCGTAGTAATAATCCAACTTGGTGAACACGGTCTTGCAGCCTTTGTCGGAGAAAACCTTCTCCTCTTTGGGGAAGAACGTCATCTCCCCGGCCACTCTGGTCACGATGTCCTCGTCGACGCCGTAGCCTCGGGACTGCATTTCCACCCGGATGCACATTTTCAGGTGTTTGTACTCCAGGGGGAGGAAGGGGACGAAGTAGTCGATGAGGTTTCGGTCGATTAGACTGCTGTGCCAGAAGCCGCCTGGGAAGAAGAGAAAGGTGCCGTTCACCCGCCGGCCGGCCAACCGCCCACCTGGCCGTCCAGCGCACGTCTCCTGGGTGCCAGGCCCCGGCCTGGGGCCCCGCACCTGCCCTCAGAGCTCAGGTCCCAGTGAGACGGGAGACGTGACCGTGGGGGGACGCCCTCCTTACACGGTGGGCTCTGTGAGGCCTCCTCAAGATGTGACTCTCGGGTCTGAAGTGCCCTGGGGCAGCCGAGAGGGACAGGAGCGGCTCACGAAAGCAGGGAAGGTGAGGCGTTCCCAGGGAGGCACCAGGCTCTTCTTTACTCCGGAAACACGCAACTCACTGGAGTTTCGGTGGCGGGATTAGCAACAGGGTCGAAACCCACTGCTGCTGCCGGCGCACCCACACTGCACAGAGTGTTGGGGGGGGGTCCAAAACTAGGACCCTCGGAGTGAGAACACGTGACTGCCCCTCCCCCAGTGGGACAGGAGTGGCTCTGCACGCACAAAGCCTCCAGCCACACCTCCCGCAGGCTTCCGGGCCTCCTGACCCCAGACACACTCGGTCTCCAGGATGTGGGGCCACTGGGCTGCACCCAGCAGGCCCCCCAGTTTCCCTTCCGCTCTGCCGCTTCCCTCTCGTGCCTGCTTCCTGCCCCGAGTCTGACGCCATCACTGACGGGTGGGGTTTTTCACACCAATCGATTCTCTGGTGCCAGCTGGGTGTCCCACAGTCCAAGTCAGGTCTGACACCATCGGCCTGGAGACAGCGTCAGATCCCACGGTCCAGGGCTCAGCACCCCCATTCTGGCCAACTGCAAGTCCAGGTTGTCACCTGTGCTGCTGACCGACTAGCTACAGAGGTTCCAATGACCCCCTCCTGGGGTTCGATTAATTGGCTGGAGCAGCTCGCAGAGTCGGAGAAACATTTTACTCAGCAGACTGCCAGTTCATTATAAAGTCACTTAACTCAGGAACAGCCAGGTGGGAGAGACTGATAAACATAGTCAACAACAGTGTCATAACCACGTGCGGTGCCAGGTGGGGACTGGAAGTCTCGGGGAGCACTGTGTGGAGTGTATGACTGTCGGATCACCATGCTGTCCACCCGAAACCAATACAAAAGAGCAGAGAATGACAACCGCCATTGAGGGAGGGAGGGAGGGAAGTGGGGAGGAAGGGAGGGAGGAGAAAGACTCAGAGTGAGGCATGGGGACGGGACACGAGCCTCGGTGCCCCCTCCGAACGGGCTGCAGACAAGCCCGGGCCCTCCACATGTTCGCCACCCGGAAGCTCTTTCAACCACACTTTTTCCCCAGTTTTTGTGGAGACTCCATCACACAGGCGTGACTGAGTCCACCTCTGATCACAGGTCTGTTCCCCTGGAACGCAGCCCTGCCCTCGGGTACTTTCCAAAAGTGCCCTCATTAACACAAACTTGGGTTGTGACAGAAAGCGGTTTGATATGAGGCAACCTTTACGTCTCTGTTTTCACTTTGCACATTCCAAGGGTTTTAGGAGATCTGAGCCAGGAACAGGGACGGAGACCAAACACATACTTCTGATTACAAACCACGGCATCACAGCTGGGTGTGAGTGCCAGGACGGGGCGGTCTGGGCCGTAGGAAAGAACAGGGCTGAGCGCTGCGCAGGTCCCACGTCTGCGGCACCCTGGGGTGGGGTGAAGCCCTGGGCTGAGCGGACAGGGCTCTGCCCTCCCGTGGTTCACAAGCCAGGAGCCCCAGCAAGCCCGTAAACAGACAATTCCACGCAAGGCCAGAGGCCTGGCAGAGGCGGCGGCCTCCGGGCACAGAGCGAGTGAGGAACCAAGCACTCGGAGACCCGGGGAGAGTGCTGGCAGAACAGGCGACCTCTACGGCTTTGGAAACCACCTATGGACCCTCCCCAATTTGTATCCTCAGCCTGATGCCCCCTGAAACTCCCACGGAATATCCAGCCGGCAGCTCCTTATCTCTGCCGAAAGCCACCGACAGGCACCGCTCACCGGACAGGCCCCTCGTCACACACCCCCACCCCGACACACCCAGCCCCGAAGTCTGTCCCCCTAAATGGCAGTGCCGCCCTTGTAATTGCAAAACCAGATCCTCGACTGTCTCCCTCTCATTTCTACACACAATCCCTGGGGAAATCCTAGTGTTTCCACCTGCAGAGTGCACCCTAATCTGACGACGTCACCATCCCCACCGCCACCCCTGGCTCCAAGCCCCCAGCACTGCTCCCTGGGCCGTTGCGGCAGCTCCTGGCTTGTCCGTCTGTTCTCTGCCCAGCAGCCAGAGAGGTCCTGGTACAACTAGGTCCCATCACGTCACCGTCCGCTAGAAACCCCCCCGGGGCTCCCTCCCCACATGGAATCAAGCCCGAGGCCCCACCATGGCTCCCGGGCCGGCTCCCTCTTACCCACCCTGCTCTCCTCCGTTCCTGCTGGACTGGCTCCCATTCCCGGTGCACTCCCACCCCAGGGCTCCAGACTCGCTGTCCCTCTGACGTCCACGCGGCTCCCAATGTCACCTGGCAGAGAGCCTTCCCTGACCTCCACTAAAACTGCAGCCTATTCTCCTCCTAGGACCGGACCCCCCTTTCTTATTTACTCCCCTCCCTGTTGGGGGGGAGCGGGGGGTGGAGGAAGACGCGCCCCTACCTCCATTAGACACCGAGAGACCCCATCACCCGCCACACGTCCTCACTCATCACCACCAGGACGTGAGCCCAGGAGTAAGGATTTCTGTGTTCTTGTTCACTATGTGTGCCCAGTCCTTAGACCAGGGCCTGACACCGAGCCGCTGCTCAGGGAACACTTGTCAAAGGAATGAAGGAGGGAGAGTTCGGCCACCTGCCCAAGGCCACAGTCAGTCCACGGCACAGCCAGGCCTGCCTGATTCCGGAGCTCCAGCCCGGCGGCCTGCTGGCAGTCCTGGCCTCACCTGCTGCGGTAGTTGGGCTACGGTTTCCACTGCGTGTGTCCATACTCTTTCTGGCCAAGAAACTACTGAACATACCATAAAATATTCTTCTATTAATAACATCCCAGTTGCACACATCGACACAAAACATCCCACGCTGTTCATGCAACCGCAGAAGTACGCACTTCTTGGCAAGTCTGTTTCAAAGAACTTTGCTTCGTAGTCTCAAGAACAAACGCAAGCAAAGGAGACTCTAATAGCAACAGTCACGATGCACAGGCTTTACCCCCGAGGTCAGCCTCCACCACCGTGGCTTCCCACCTCCAAGGGTTCAAGGTCTAAGGTACAGGTGGCAAACACAAGGCCCGCAGGCCAAATCCACCCCTCCACCTTGTTTTATCCTGTTCAGCACTCTATTTCCACCAGGGGGCAGCACTGAGCTCTCACTTAACTGTTAAGGAGCAGTTACATGTACACAGTCCTAACATTACATTTGGCCCTTTGAAGGCAACTGCAAGGCTGATGCGACCCTGGTGAAGATGAGCCTGACACCCCAGGTCTAAGGTGTGTGACTCTCGGGAAGAGCAACGGGCTGGGTAGCTAAAGCCTGGGCTCTGGAACCAGGGACCCCACCAGGCTGCGCGGACTTGGGCAGCCTATGGTTCTCTGAGCCTCAGCTTCCTCCGCTGTAAAATGCGGACGGTAATAAATAACTTCTATCCCACAGGGTTCCTACAAAGTTACAGAAAAGGTGCAGGTAGAGGGTGTCACCCGGTGCCTGGTACAGAGCAAGGGTCCAGCCACCTGCTCGCTTGGGCACAGGACCTCAGAGCTCCGGGCCAGCGCACAGAGAGAGGGGCCCATGGCAACCTGCCTTGCTCAACCACCTGCTTTTCTTCTACAAAGAAAACGATCTGGCTGAAGAAAACAGGACCTGATTTTCAAGAACTCCATGATCAACAATTTCCCTCTTTCTTTAAAATAGCACTTCTCTTGCCATGCCCAGTGCGGCTCAGCGGACTGAGCGCTGTCCTGTGAACTGAGGGGCCACGGGTTCCATTCCCAGTCAGGGCCCGTACCCGAGCTGCAGTCCAGGTCCCCATTTGGGGGTGTGTGAGAGGCAATCAATCCATGTTTCTATCTTTCTCCCTCCCTTCTCCTCTCTCTAAAAGTAAATAAAATCTAAGACTATAGTCTTCGGGAAAAAAAAATAGTGCTCCTCGGGGTGAATACATAATACACTATACAGATGAGGTATTATAAAATTGTATATCTAAAACTACATAATTTTAGTAACCAATGTCACCCCGATAAATTCAATGAAAACATAAAAATAAGTGCCCCGCACTCACTGTTCTTGTTGTTGAAAGCCGACACGGACAGGGCGGGCTCCATGTCTCTGAGCTTGATTTCCTCCCTCTGCCTCCCGCTTCTCCAGAAGTCCAAGGCCACGTCCGTGATCTTTTCCGCTCCGGCGTTGCTGCGAAGTGAGTGTGGGGAACGAGGGCTGGGTTCCTCCCCCAGGCCCAGGGGCTGGGGCTCAGAGCGCGTCCCTGTGCCCCAGCCTGAACGTACCTGAGAAAGATGAAGATGGCTTTCTGGTAGGAGACCCCATCCAGGTGGTCGTAATAGTCCAGGAAAGGCTTGATGGCGTCGATGAGGCCCGCATGCATCTTGTCCATCTCGTCGAAGATGAAGATGGACCTCGCACAGGCACTCACGTTGCCGCGAATCCACAGCTGTAACTGGTCCTGAAGGGCAAGGGGGGGGGGACCAAAACGGACTGCTCAGCCAGCGAGATCCCGGCGCCGGGCACGGCACGGGCTTCGACACTGCTGCGTTTACCAGCGCTTACTGTGGTCTCGGCACCGTGCTAGGAATGGAGCTGACAAGCTCCTGCGGTCCTCTCCACAACCCTGCCTAGCAGGCATGTTGGACCCATTTCACAGATGAGGAAACCGAGGCACAGACAGCTTCATCAGCTTGTCCAAGAATATGAGGTTACAAAATTACTCCTTGAACTGCCTTGGCCAGGTAGTTCAGCTGGTTAGAACACTGTCCAGATACACCAAGGTTGTAGGTTCAATTCCCATCAGGGCACATACAAAAAAGCAACCAATGAATGCATCAATAAGTGGAACAACAAAGATTGATGTATTTCTCTTTCTCAAATCGATAAATTAAAAAAATGTTTTAATAAAAAATGACAAAATTGCTATGTGGCAGAACTAGGACCTGAATCCTAACCTGCCTGATACCAATGCTGAGGCGCTGGACGGCTGGTCGTTTGCCATTAAAATGAATGGCGGCATTAACACGTTTCCTGTGCATGGCAGCTCATCTAGAAAGAAGGCAGAGACCCAGCGACCTACTGCGCCGTTCAGCCCCTAGAAGAGCCTTGAGAGGGCGTCTACGTTTCCCACGGGGAACGCAAGAAATGCAGGCTTACGGGAGGCGGCTGGACCCCAGGGCACCGTGCTCTGGGGTGAGTGTGGTGAGCAAACGCCCCCGAGTTTCTAGAATAATGCTCGGCAGCTGTGCTTACACAGAAACATTCCCTAAAAACACATTCAGGCACTTAAGATACTAGGCAATCAAGGTAAGGAAAAAAGACCCTTTCGATTGGAAATCGGAGCCAGGGTGCTCTCCCAGACTGTACCCCACGATGTGAGGAGGGGAAATGAGCTGTTTTCTGAGGGCGACTCTGGAAGTTACGACGTCGGTCTTGACTTCTCTTCAGCTTTTGCTCAGCTCCCGTGACTACGGTTACAATGTTCCGCCGCACACGTCACACCTAAGCGGTAATTCTGCTCTGCAGGCAGGGGCCAGCCTCTCGGTACTGGGGCCCCCTCAGGAGAGCTGAAATAACTTGAGGGGGGCCCAGAGCAAGTCACTGTTTAAACAAGGACTCACGCAGACCTGCTGGGCTCCGGCTGCCATGGTTTTCCCACTCTGCCACGCGACTTTTGGGCAAGAACAAAGCGCGCGTTGGGCACTGAGTGCAGGTCGGCCCCTGCGGTGAGCACTGTTCCCACGGCGCATGGCCGTGGTCTCCCAAAGCCCATCGATGCTGTGCACAGCACCACAGCGTTTCCTACGTCACAACTAAGGAAACCGAGGCCCGGGGAGGCTAAGTATCTTGCCCTAAGTCACACAGCTATTAAGCGGTAGAGCCAGAATGCTAACTAGAATGCCCAACTTATCTCTAATGGAACTTTCCCAGTGTTAGGACTGAAAGTCGCACACCCTGGGAACCCAGGGCAGTTGGCGATCCCCACGTTCAGCAAGCAGACGGGAAAAACGGGTTCCATGGGTGAGGGCTACACTGCTGAGTGTCCTGCTGCCTTGCAGGTGCGTTACATGGATTTAAAAAGGTGACAGTTAACACTTAATTTGAACACTCATAGGCCAGGCAAGTACCATGGCACATACTTGACAGCTCATTGATTTCTCACATCTCCCCCCCAATTCTATAAATGAAAAATCTGAGTCTCAGAGAGGTTAGGCAACATTTGCAAGATTGCACAGCTGGTAGGCTAGAAAGTTAGGACTCAAATCCAGGCTCTCGGACATAGAACAATAAGCATTCTGCAACACTGCAGTCAAACAAATTTAGGCCTCTCTAGAAACGCTTCCTCTTTCACAAAATGAGTTAGATATGATGATCTTTTAAAAGCTGGATTTGATCCCACCCATCTCTAAAATCCTATGACCCCACTTACTAAAACGCGTATCACACTGGGCCTGTTTTGGAAACCACAAAGTTTGACGGTGTAACTGCTTGGTGCATCTGAAACCCTCTGTAACTTCCACGTTTCTCAATGGCGAACTGACACATGTAGCTAATTTCAGGGCTCACTCAACAGGCAATTCCCAAATACCATCCCACAACCAAGAGACCACAAACTGGGCCCCATCCGGGGAGGGCTCCGACTCCTGAGCTTGCCTTATACAGGGTGAGGTTGGAGGCGTGCGGGAAGTGCAGCGTGGCCACAAACAGGTGCACATAGTCACTGTTCAAACCGCCCTCGTAAATGTTCTCCGCAATGATCTTGCTGGCAAAATTTTTGCCGGTGCCGGTCCACCCGTGTAGGGAGAGGGTGAGAGGTTTCTTGGGTTTCGGGTTGCTTATGAAGGCAGACAAGGCATTTAAGATGACTTTCTTGGCAAGATGCTGTCCAAAGAGCTTGCTGTCCAGGTCCTTCTGCAGCACTGGGAAAAACAAAGCCGGTCAGGTAGCGGGTGGGGGCGCTCGGCTGGCAAAATTTAAAGTTTACAGGATCACGGAGACAGCACCTCGCCCGGGGATGGCCGGTGGGCCCAGGGAGACCTCACTCTGCTAGTCTGCCCTGCACAGCCCTGGACGGAACCTGGCTCCCTTCCGGAAACGGCCCTTGGCTCCTCGGTTGCCAGCGTGCGCCCCTGACACCAGACCTGCTCCTCCCGCCCCGGGCCGTGCAGGGAGGGTCCCCACCATGCTTTCTGTCTCCGGCCGGGAAGGAGCAAAGCTCTGCCTGGAGGAAGTGTGCAACCATCCACACCACCCCGCTTCTGCGTGAAGCAGCCCAACCCGAAGCTCGCCTCCTCAGTGTCCGAGCAAGTTCCGGGCTGTCTCCGGCGGTGGATCCTGGGGCCAGGCCCCACCCCGCACCCCGGCCACTTCGGTTCCCTGTCCCAGCCGCGCCGGCCTCAGCTCTGCCCCGGCTTCCTGCGCTCCCCGCCCCAGTCCTAGAGGCAGCCCCCAGCCGCCGCCCCGTCCCACCTTCCCGGCTAAGGCTCCGCTTCTGGCTACAGCACTCGGCAAAGAAGCAATAGAGGCGCGGGTAGGAGATGTAGCTGGTGAGGACGCCGGCCAGGGCCAGTCCCAAGCTGATGGGCTCCACCGCCCGCACCGCCAACGGCGCCAGCAGCAGCAGGCCCAGTACAGCCCGGCCCAGCTTCATGCCCGGACCCCCGCCGCCCTGCGCGTCCTCGAGCCTTCCGCGGACCCGTGCTCCCGCCAGTCAGTGCTTCCGGTTCCGCCCCTTGGCCGCGGCCATCTTTGCTTGGGATGGTCTCTTTGCGACGCCCTTGCCGTCATCTTTGTGAAGGGAAAAGCCCCTTTCTGCTTCCGGGAGATGAGCACCGGAAGCTGTTGCAGGAGGCCAGTTTTTTTTTTTTTTTTTTACAAGAATAGAAAAAAAAGTTTTAGATTTACAGAAAAATTGAGAATACAGAGCACATATGCCCCTCGCACCTGACATAGTTTCCTCTATAATTAACATCTGTATGTTACATTTGTTCCATATGAACTAGTTCAAAAACTCACTGAAGTTTGTTCAGATAGTTCCTTAGTTGTTACATAATGTCCTGCTTGGGATCCAGAATCCTATCCACGAACTCATGTTTAGCTGCCATAGCTCTGCTTAGGCTCTTCTTGGCTGTGAGTGCTTCTCAAATGTTCCTTGGTTTTGATGACCGTGACAGTTCTGGGGTGCGGGTCAAATATTTTGTAGGATGCCCCACAAATTTCACCACCGGAATTTGTCCGATGTTTGTCACATGGTTAGACTGGAGTTACGGGTTTGGGGAAGGAGCACACTTTACAGAGGTACAGTGCTATTTTTATAACATCAGATCAGGCCTTTCAACATGATTAATGACTATCGCTGATGACTTGCATCGACTGGATGAGGTGGCGTTTGTCAGGCTGCTCCACTGGATTGACATCCACTCACATACTCATCCTTTTGAGGACTGCCCATCTGTCAGGTCACAGACTAGACCCTGGGGATTCAGGAAAAAGATTAGGCACATGTGACTCCTGTGCTTGGCTTCACCTTGCATTCTGCTGGAGCGGGAAAAGAGTGCATGAGAAAACAATCTCGGTATTGCAGATGAGAAAGAAAACCAAGGCTCCGAGGGACAGCGATTTGGCCAGGGATATAATAAGCTGGGAGCAGGGATCAGATCCGACCCCAAAGCCAAACTTCAATAACCACAATGCGCATGGCACATCGGCCCCGGAGCCACCCACCCTGTCATTCCTTCACCCCAAACTGTTTAAATGCCTCAGGAAAAATGACAGCACAAGTGGCACCACCCTTGACCGCTAACAGGTTGGAGCCTGTCTGCATCTCCTGAACGAATCGGCAGCTCTTGCTCAGTAACTGTTTTGAGTCTGAGCTGCCTTCTCCTGGGCTCTGCACACACCGCCCGATGTTGCTGCGAGGAGGTACCACGTAAACGAGAAGGCTGGATTCCTTTCACATTTAATACCGAAGTGAGGAAGTGATAGAGACATGTGATTTTCCCTTCTTAATGAAAAGAAACAGGCAACTCTGTAAAAGTCAGAAAATACCCGTCCCTTCAGTCCCATCCCAGATGTTTCTGCTGTCCACTGGATCCACTGGAAACAGCGAAGGCTGCGTTTCTCAACCCCACGCAAGATAATTGGAAGTCGCAGATACAATGACACACATGACAACAAGAGCACAATTTAAAGGGTATTATGTCAACACATGGCTGTTAAGGGGTATTACGCTCAACACATGGCTGTTTCCTCCTGAGGCAAATGTTACAAAAAAGGCAACATATTTACATACAAGATTTAATGAAGCTCACAAGAATGTTTTGCCCCCAAATAAAAAAAAAAAACTTGCATATTGTTTCGTTTTAAAAGGTTACAAAGTCAAAGTTCAAAGAACCAAGCAGGTGAGCAGCGGGACCAACAGCCTGTTCTTGGAACTGCCTGTGAGCCTGCGAGCCGACGGCCAGGTCTCTGTCCAGCAGGCCAGCCCCCCGAGGATGACAGCCTGTGCTATTTACATCCATTCTGCACCTCCCCCCTTTGGCCTCCCTCAGTACCGCCTGTTCATCTTCTTGAACTTCTCATAATGATAGTCATCGGTGGCCTTCTCATTAGCGGGACGCTTGCGGTTCGGGGGGGACCCTGGGAAGGAAAAGAGGAAAAGCTGTTTGCTGGGCTGGAGGTCACTGACAGGCTTCACGTCCACACAGGCAAAGGCCATTCTGTGTAGGAGCCCCCATGCCTACCCTACTGAACAGAAGCATAGTAGGGCCTCAGCAAATACTTGTCATCGGGTGACTGAAAACAGACACATGGCGGAGTCGGGTGCTGGCCAAAACACGCCGACACCAGCATCAGACTGGGTGACAGGTGTGGCTTCGTCGAGTCTCACCTGCCCCAGGAATGGCACTAAATCCGTTTAGACACCACTTCCTCTGGCCCTCACAGCAACCCTAGCAGGGGCAAGTTGCCATCTTTGCTTAGAGCGGTTAGGTGACTGGCTCGAGGTCACTCAGACAGTGAAGGCTGGCTGAGTATGAAACCCAAGTCTGGAGACTCAAGAGTCCTCGCTTACTACGTGTGTAACACGAAGCTCTTTGGGAATCAAAGACCACAAAACCAAGATGTTAATTTCCCAAATACGAAAGAAGAGTGAGATTAACAGGCTGGCTTTTAGGAGCCTCAGATTTCGCCTTTCCTGAGAGCCATCCCACTGTTGATGAAAAGACCACACCCGGTGCAGGCGTCCCTGGGGGGGGGCCCGGCAGATGCTGCTGGAGGGGGACTAAGGAGCACGCCACCTCTCAGGGCTCATTTGGCAACTTCTCAGAATGTGGCCTAAGAACGTGATGTAGGCAAGAATGAGCATCAGAGCATGTTCAAACGGGGAAACGTGGGAAGCAGGTGACGTGCCCAGCCAGAGTGGAACGGTCAGGCCACGGTGCACCTGTCTTTCCAACGGAACGTGATTTGGTCTTTGAAAGAGAAAACATGCACTTACTTTACTGACATGGAGAGGCACGCGGGGCAGGCTACTGAGTAAAGCACCAGGACGCCCCTGTAAGTGTACCTGCAACGTTTACTATCCGTGAATATTAAAAAAGTCTGGCCCTGCCTGGTGTGGCTCAGGGGATGGACGCCAACCTGAGAACCGAAAGGTCGCGGGGTTGGTTCCCAGTCAGGGCGCACGCCTGGGCTGCAGGCCAGGTCCCCAGCGGGGGCGTGTGACAGCCAACCCCACACTGATGTTTCTCTCCCTCTTTTTCTCCCTCCTCCCTCCCCCTCTCTCTGGAAATCAATAAATAAAATCTTTAAAACAAAAGTCTGAAGGTTTTATGTAACATTGTTAACAGTGGTGGCCTTTAGTTGGTACAATTATGAGTGACTTTTCATTTATTTTTATTTATTGAAATTCTCTATTTTTTTCGACCCTGTATTTGACAGCCCAGTGAGTCCTCAGAGCAACCCCCAGTGGCTGGCTGTACTCTTCCTCTTCCCATTTCATAGATGAGGAAACCGAGGCTTACGAAGGGGAAGGTGCAAGGCCATGGCCCAGAGCGCGGACTAAATCCCGGCTACACAGGCCCCCAAGCCCGAGCGCCAGCCCCGCCGCGTCCCACCCTATCTCCGTGGGCCCCTAAGCAAAGCAACCACTGCAGGCAGCCTGCAGCCACCGCCGTACTCACGGTCAGGCTCTGGCTTCTCTGTGTCACCCACTCTCAACGGGCGGGCTTTGGGCTCCTCTTTGTTTCTCCGTATTGGGGCATTGAGCTCCTCATGATAAACTGAACCAAGAGACCAGGGGACACGTCAGACAAAACGAGGGAACCCGGGGACCTCACACCAAAGGGCCAGGGGCAGGGCAGGGGCAGGGGAGGGCTGCTTCCGCAGAGACTCACATCGGTTGTGCTGCACGTAGTTCACTGCCATGTTGGTGGGCACGAAGGACGTCTCACTGTCTTTCTTCTTGTTCTGCTGCTCTGCCAGCAGCCGGGCCTTGGCGTCCTCCGTGGAAATGATGTTTTTAATTTTAGCACTAAGGGGAGAAAGGAGCCAGGCCATGCGTTAGGTCGCCGCACCTCTGGCCCTCAGAAGCGAGCGGCGAGGCGGGCAGCGCACCACTGAGCCAAGACACCATCTTCCCCCAGCACAGCTCTGCGCAGCCTACTGCTCCCTCACAGCTGAGCTCCCGGGGAGCTCTCCGGGCTATCGGGGCTGCGGGTTAGTCTCTTCTGGTCAAGAGGAGACTGAGCCTCCAGGAAGGAAAGAGAACAGCCTATGTAGGCTCAAAGCTAGAAAGGCCCGAGGAGAGGTGAGAACCCAGAGGCCTCCAGCTGCCTCTGCGCCCGAGGATGACTCTGACCATGGCATCTCCTCCAGGGCCATCCCCTTACAGAGCAGATGCTCTGCAGTGCACCGAGGGGAGGGCTGTGGGGTGGTGAGGGCGAGGCCTCAACATTGCTCCCACTGGAATAGAACAGAGGAACGCGGGGGCCCCACGAGAGCAGCTGAGGAGCTACGCAAAAACACTTTTGCTTTCAGTACAAAGGGTCCCTTACGTGTCTTTATCATATATTCTGACCGACACTTCAGAGAAGCTCCTGGGGTCAGCCATCTCAGCCCGCCCGACAGAACAGAGCTAATGCGGGCTTCCAAGGAGACAGGGAAGAAGCAGTCCCCCTGACCCTGAACTGGAAAGCAGAGAGCTCCTCCGCCCGCCCTGGGGCCGGAGAGGGGTGAGGGCAGGGGCCTGAAACGCACTCGATGCCCAGGTCCACCTCAGGGATGCCGCTCAGCATCTGGTTGGAAAGCATCTCCTCTGTCTTCTTCGCCGAGGAGACACGGATGCTTTCTGGGAGTTCGTAAAGGCAGTCCTCTGCGTTCTTGGGCTTCACCTTCTGTTCTTCGTGTTCCACGATCCCTTTCCTCTTCTTCAGCTCCGTTTCAATGTACTTCATCCTGAAACGAGAAACACATGGGTGTCAGGGAGAGGCAGGAGGTTCACCATATGCATCTTTTAAGTTAGTGGTTCCCAGCCCTGGCCCACAGAGTGGTCGGTGATGGTCCCTGCCCTGGCCCACGGGGCGGTGAGGTCCGTGATGAAGTTTTCATCAGTCCATGGAGAGGTGAGAAAAGTAAAACTACCTGTTTTTGTTGTGCTAAAATGTACAATGTAAAGTGCTGATCTATCCCATGAGATCATGTCCCGCCAATCTATTGGCATTATTCTACGTAAGGTTCTTCAAAGACAGAGAGATGATGGGAGAGGGTAGTTGTTTGTTTCACAGCCTTGTTGGCAAAATCGAAAGCGGGCAGTCCACTGTTTATCCCTGCAACGTCTGGGGGAAACACTACTAATCAAGGAAAGTAAGTCTCAAGAACTACTTTTAAGGGACTTTTCAGAGTTTTTCAAAGTTCTCAAGCCTGGGAAGTAGGCCAAGAGGGCCCCCCTGATGTCTTTGGAAAACTCTAAAAATGTCAGCTGTCACTAACTGTCCCGAATCGTGTCTGGCTGGAGCCCACCCCTGATCGCTCACAGCCCAACGCACTGGTACCTACATGTCAGCATCCTCGTCCCTTCTGTTGGTTTCCGCCGAAAAGGACGTCCCCAGGTGGAGGTCTTCCTCTTCGCTGATCCTAAAAGGAGAGAACCGTGAAGCTCAGCCGTGAAGTCACAACTCGGTGAGGCTGAGTTGTGTGTTATACCAATGAACTAGGTACACAACAAAAAAGTGTAATATCCCCGTTACGGCTGGGGGAAAAATACAAGACATGTAAATAAACATATGCAAGCAAACCGTAGGCCTCTGGAGAGTCCTCTAGGGGGGGAAGCAGCAGATTCTCTTATTTTTTACTTTTGTATGTAGTGTTTTTATAATTGTGTTTTTGTGTTTTCTGAAAAAAGAAAAATAAAACCTCCACATGAATCTGAAAGATAATAAACAACGCATCTTTCCAAAAGCAGTGTGCCCACATCTCTCTAAGCTCACCTGTAAAGAGTTTTAGTTTTGCTTTTAAACTATACACCCTTTGCACAGCACAAAGGCTACTTGAAGATGTCCCACAAAAGCCACAGCTGCAGGCCCCAACTCTCTGGGGGCCCCGAGGCCCCAGCAGGGGCTGCAGGTGAATTTGTATCTCAGAGCGTCCTGTACTTACTTATCTTTGCCCCTCTCCTTCAGTTTCTTCATGTCCACCATGCCGCCTGTCTTCATCTGAAAGGGATCATCCTGCAGCGAGCCAACACGGTGGAGAAGAAACATCTAGGTAACTGGCAGCGGATTTTCTTAAGAAAACACAATCATCCTCTGAAGAGCTTCCACATTTTCCCACTGCGTGAGGAGCACCCCATGACTCACCGCTAGAGTGGCCTCTTCTTGCACCTTCTCTCCCACCAGCAAGGCCACGGCACTGAGTAAAACCAAAAGAGAAAGGGAGGGAGTGGGGAGCGGCACCATTCAGAGATGAGAAGGAACACTTAGGACATTTGTAAACTGCAACGTTAGGGCAAGGGTGAGATTTGATGGGTGAGCACCAAAGCCAGCCAGAAAGGCCTACAAGAATAAAATGGCTTGCCCTGGCTGGTGTAGCACAGTGGATTGAGTGCGGGCCTGTGAACCAGAGTATCGTGGTTTAATTCCCAGTCAGGGCACATGCCTGGGTGGCAGGCCAGTTCCCAGCAGAGGACACATGAGAGGCGACCATACATTGATATTTCTCTCCCTATCTCCTTCCCTTCCCCTCTAAAGATAAATAAATAAAATCTTTAAAAAATATAATTAAAAAAAAGAATAAAACGGCTCAACATACACTCTAGATGCCGGGGGTGGGGGAGGTGGAAAGGTTTCGGTAAAGGCATTATCTCAGCTTGGAAATCTCATTTCTAAGATTTTGCCTTCAGGAAAACTAAAGGTAAAGACAAATGTAGGAAAATACTATTATTGCAGCCTTATCTGATGAAAACTTACAAGATGACCTAGAGGTCCTCAAATAGGGAATTAGTTAAATTATGGTATACACTTGTGGTGGAGTATTATACAGGCATTAGAAAAGTTTTGGGGAAAATAACCCACAACGTGAATGAGTGTCTCCAAGGTCATAAGGAGATGAAAACAGCATAGAATAGCAGTTCTCATCATCTTTCTCGAAATAGGGAAGAACATTAAATACTAACACTGGCTATCTCCATGGGTGCTGTTTATTTTCTTGATTGGACTCTTCTAAATTTGCCAGACTCGATGTGCTTCCATAGTTAATTGGGTGCAATAAAAACACGAGTTGGTGACCTGTTTCTGCACCTCTGGAGCAAGCCTCGCGACCGCACAACTCGGGCCATCTAGATAAACGTTGTCAGAGAACGCTGAGCCTCTTCCAGGGCAGTGGAAAGTGCAAAGTGTGCCAAGAAAAGAAGCTACGTTTCAGGAGATATTCTGTGACAGCGACCGGGGCGGGGATGTGTCTATCACGCCCATCTCCTCCTCCTCCGGGTCCCCCTGCGGTACCCACCTCACTCCGTTGGGCCTCTTCCTCATATTCTGCACCTCTCGGGTTTCTTCTAGTTTTAATCTGGGGAAAAAAAAAAAAAGGCAACGTACAGGTTGAGAGAGCCTCTGCGGAACTCGGAGTCAAACAGCAGCTTCGACCGGTACCCTAGCCGGCTGCCGAGTCGCCGGCTCGATGGTCCAGAAGGCGCACGGGCGCCTAGACCCACCGGGAATCAGATGCACTTCCCGTCCCTCTTCCAATGTTGAGGCCTTGGGAGTGGCGGGAGCCCCGATTTCTAGAAGCCCCAATTTCTTCATCCGCAGAAGGGGACAACACCACCTCACAGCTACCAATGTTGTGAAGAGGGAGCCCGGCTCGTGGTGAGTCCCTAAGCCAGCTTCGCTTTTCCTGCCCAGGGGAAACCCCGCTCCAAACGCACCGAACCTCTTTTGAGTCCTGTTCATCTTCCTCCGACTCCGAGTCGGCCCGGCGCCGGCGGAAAGTCTTCCCGGTGACCGGCATAGTCGGTGCCGCTCCCGGTCCGGCCGCTGCCCCGCAGCGCTGTGGCCTGGTCTGCTTCCGGCGCTCAGCAGTGCAGTCAGAGCGCTAGCTCTGCCGGGCCCGCCCCTAGTCCTCCTGGCTCCACCTTTTTCGCATCGCCCATCTGTCCACGCCCCCATTGGTGGCGTAGGCCCCTCCCGATTGGGCGATCAGGGAGAGGGGGCGGGGCGAGGCTGCCGGTGCCCACGACCCTGCGCGGCGCCGCGGAGGGTGCGTTTGACTGACAAGCAGCGCTGGGTCTGTAGCGACGGCAGGTGAGTTTCAGGCTGCTGCCGGCTGCTTCAGGGGGCCGGGCCTCTGGGGGAGGGACGACGCCGACCCCGCTCCCTGCGATCCGAGTGCCTGGCCCTTCCAAGAGCGCAAAACGCCGCGGCCAGGTGAGCGGAACCCGGGAACCCCCCGGCCACCGTCACCCCACCCCTCCTCCGGCCGGCGCTCGGGGGGTCCTCGAGTGTCCCGTCGCCCCACTTCGAGCCCCCGGGGACTCGTTGCTCCTGCCGGACAGGAGCCGCCATCTCTTTTATTCTCCAGGGCCTGATTCAGCGTTGAAAGCATGCGTGTCGCGTCTCGGGGCGCTGACATTTATTTCCCCCGGGTCTGGGCCCTGACGTGTATTTTTTCCTTTAAGGACAAAAGATGACCACTTATTAGTGGTGCTGAATTAAAGTCCCAAAGCCGACTGCCCAGCTAAAAATGACACCCAGACGCTTCTCCCCGAGGAGAGGCGCGTCCAGTGTTTTGAACCCCTAGGGCCCCTCCTCGGGGGTTTGCCCGCCGCCTTTCTGGAGCTTTCAGGGGCCTTGCGTTCGCGTCCTTTGCCACGAGGACCGTCGCTCTGCCCTTTGCCCCTTCCACCCCGAGAATGCTGTGAGGATTAAGTTTATTTGAAGTATGGGCATCGGCAAACGCTTAGGAAATAACTAAATGCATGAATAGTGTCTTCGAAGGCTTTTAGGAACCCCTTAAATAGTAGTTTTCCCTCTCTCATTATAGGCCGGTGCTTTCCTTTGAAAGCACTACCTCTTACTAAGCGCTTACTAGGTGGCAGGTCCTGGGATAAGCAGGATCTCACTGAACTCGCCCAACCAGCCAATGAAGTGGATTCAGTTATTCTTCATTTTGCAAACGAGAGTACCTGGGTTCAGGGAGGCGGTGCGCGCTTCAGGTCACACAGCTGGAAGGTGGAGCAGGGACCAGTCACAGGCCCACCTCTGCTGTGCCTTCTGCACAGCGCCTGGCACGATGACCACTCAGTAACTGCCGGCTGCGGCTGCTCTCATTGCAGCTCTTTGGCTGCGGGGAGGTGCTGATGGAAGCTGCTTTTGGTTGCCTCTCCTCACGATCATTCTGAAGCTGGGCAGCATTTCTGGAATGCCTTACTTCTTTCTGGAACATCCTCCTCTAAGATCCTTGTTCTTACCCCTGGGGCTGAGACAAATGGCCTTCTCAGATAACTTGGGATGTCTCGGAATAGCCTTTTGGCCTGGGGCAAAAGCTGTTTAGTAGCTGTGTGACTTCCAGCCAGTTCCTCTTCCTCTCTGAGCCTGTCATTCCTCCTTTCGTGGTGGAGGTGGAAGTGGATTTAACTTCCAATGTTGTGAACCCCCAGGGCGGTTCTGAAGATTTAGTGAGATCTCTGAGTGTCAGTCCAGTTCAGGGGTCTATTAGGGCGGGGATGGAGTGGCTAAGGCCAGTGGGGATAACTGGAAGTGTGTTGGAAGCAGGGCTTGCCAAGGCAGGAGGAGGCTCAGAGTTCTGCTTTGAGAGTCAGAAGGATGGTGGACTCTCAGTGAATAAAGACTAGGTTAGAGGAAGGAGTGTGTTAGGGATTTAGGGAAAATGGAATTGCTTGGAAGTTAAATGAAGAGGGCAGGAGGGAGGGAAAGGGGTGCCAGAGGGGTGCAGGTGTGGGGACCCGGTCAGGGGGTGCCCTTGTGTTGGTGGGGGCTTGGCAGCATCACCTTTCCTATCCTGAGGAACTCAGTTCCATCCTGGCTACAAGGAGGATATAGCCAGAACCTCCAGGAAAATGATGAGTAATGGGCACCTGTGGCCTGGTCTCAGCAGCTGGTGCCAAGCCCGGCCGAGCTGCCTGATGGCTGTGTCCCTAGGGAGGTGCTTTCCCCTCGCTCAGTGCTGGCCCCAGGGAGGACAGAGTGCCTGCCCTTATCTAGAATGAAGCGTCTTGGAAGCCTCACCCAGGCCCTGAGTGGGTGGGCACTTTGCCAGACCCGCCGACCTGCCTCCTTCCCTCCTGCTTTCTCATCCCCAAGAGACGAAGCAGGCAGTCCTGGTGGTCAGGATGGAGAGGCACTCTAGGGTTGCTGCAGTGAAGCGGTGAAGGCGCCACGCCCCTGGCGGGCGCGCAGGCATCTCCCTACTCCAGCAGCGCATAGTCCGGTGGACCAGCTGCTCGGAAGAGGGCCTGTTCCCAGGACCCAGCTCTCTCAGCAGAGTGGGCTTCTTCCCCTCTCTGTCCGTGTTCCGTGTGCACTCCGTTTGTTTGCACAGGGGGCAGGGTGGGAAGGGCCGTGAAGGCAGACACACCTGGCTCCATTCCAGCTCTGTCACTTCCTCGCCATGTGACCTCGGGTGAGCGGCTTCCCATCTCAGAGTGTCCTCTGTCGGGTGAGGAACAGCGGTGCTCACCTGAGAGAGTGTAGGCGGGCCTCTCGCTTGGCTCGGAATGGGCACTGGGTCCCGGATCGCCAGCTGTTGACCTAGGGTTTCCCTTTCCAAAGACTGCTCCCTGCTCCCACCTTAAATGAAAAAAAAAAAAAAAAAAAAAAAAAAAGGAATCTTTAAAAAGTTTCTATTTTGAAAAAATCCAGATGCACAGAAAAGTTACTTGAATAATAGAATGAAATCCCATTCATATCCTTCACCTAGTACAGCAATTATTAACATTTTAGCCATATCTACTCTCTGTATACCCATTATTATTATTATTGCGGATCCATGTAAGAGTAAGTTCCCCACGTAAGAGTAGTTTGCCCCTACATATTTCAGGGGAAATCATCTGAAAACAGACAGTGTAACACATAACCAGAAAACAGTCTCCATCTTCAGAAACGTCGGTGTTGATATAATGCCTTATCAGTCTGCTAGGCTGCCATGAAGAACCGCTGGCTGGGTGACTTGAACAACAGAAATCAATTTCCTCACAGTTCTGGAGCTTGGGAAGTTCAAGATCAAGGTGTCAACTAGCTTTGTTTTCTTCTGAGGCCTCTCTCCCTTGGCTCGTTATCAGCCACCTTCTCGCTGTGTCCTCACCCCTGTGGTCTCTCCCCTGGGTGCGTCGGTGCCTCCTATCTGTCCAGATGTCCCCATCTGATAAGGACAGCAGTGAGACTGGCTTGAGGTCCACCCTAAAGAGCTCATTTGTACTCATTCACCTGTCTGAAGACCCTGTCTCCAGTAAGATTACATTCTGAGGTCCTGGGGGCTAGGACTTCAATGTAGAAATTTGAGGGGCACATTCCGTCCATAATAAATTTCTCAGTTGTTCCACTGATGCGCTTTCCCCCATTAATCCGGGATCCAATTCCGTCATGTCTGTTTAGTGCCCTTTGTCTATGTGGAGAAAGGGAATTGGGTTGCTGGGAGCAGAAGTGCTGGTGGCCCAGGAACTGGAAAGCTGTTTAAGGATTTGCTCCATTCCCTGACGTTCCACGTCCTGGCTTTACTTTGATGTCCAAAGCCCCAGGAGGTGAGCTTGGATCTTAGAAAGTGGCACTGAGAATTGGAACTCCCATGCATTAGGCACCTGCTGTGTGTCACACTTGGCTCACACTGTGCATTTCTTGGCTGGGCAGGTGGGCCCGGCTGCCCTGGGCAATGGAAGCCTGAGCGAAAAGCTGATGGGAGGTGCCCTTGGGCATGTGACGTAACATTCTTAGCACCCTGAGTTTGCTGATCTATAAACCATGGCCAGTAAGACAGATCATAGTGCTAAACGGTTTTTGAGCATTCTTGGTAGGCAGATAAATACGAACTCTGAGCCATCCTGAGGGTCCCCGTGACCAGAAGTCACTGCGCTCAGTCCCCCTTGTGCATTGTCTCACCAGCCTCCCAGTCACCCAGGGTGCTGGCTCTGTCCCACTTCCTGGGCGAGGTAACTGAGGACCGAGGGATTTAGCTAAAGACACATGGCTTGCTTGCCAGGGACAAGAGCAAGGAGCCTAATGCAGGGCTAGCTCTCTCTCTGATTGCTTTCCGTAATTACTGTCAAATCCAGGGTTAATGTGTGTGGACCAGCGGCATTTGGTAACATGGTAAAAGGCGGCTGCCATTAGGAATTGTAGCATCCCTACTGCATGCATGTAGCCTGGTGTTGAAATATGGAACTCTGAGCCCCATGAGGGCAAGACCCATGCCTGGCTCGTTTCCACCACCCAAGTCTCAGTGCTCTGTGTTGGTTGGGTACCAGATAAAGCAGCATGGAAACCTGTAGACAGCTGAGGTAGGTGAGGTGAGCTCCTTGAAGATGTGTGCACTTCTCATGTTTCAGGTCCTGCGTGTGGACTATGAAACACCCACAGTCTTGGGCGCTGCCACTCCACTTTTCCCCCTCCATACAAACTGATGTTTTAAATAATCCTATTTATTTGTCTGTTTACTTAGAGAGAAGGGAAGGGTGGGAGGAAGAGAGGGAGAGAAACATCACTGGGTTGCCTCTCTCATGCTCCACTGGGGGATCGAGTCTGCAGCCCAGGCATGTGCCCTGGCCAGGAGTCAAACCCACGACCCTTTGGTTTATGAACAACACTCCAACCAGCTGAGCCACACCAGTCAGAGCAGTACGCAGATAAGTTTACGTAATCTTTCTGGAAAACCATTTGCATTTACCTGGAGCCTTCAAAATATCCATTTTGACTCAGTAATTTTTCTTTTGGTCAAAAATAGAGTCAAAGACTTACATTTCCAAGTACAAGGGAAACCCAGAGAAATCTGAAATTATCTTCTGAAGGGTGGGCCCCTTCTTGTAACAGGCTCCCCCCACTAGGTGATACACCATCTGT